TTTGTTGCCTTTCCTTGGTGCTGGGCCTACCCTTCAATGCCTCCTGTGAGTTGAGCCATTTGTGAGCTGCTCACTCCTTCACCCTTAGATAAAAGCCCCTCACAGCCACCTCTTCCCTGGTCATGCTTAGCCCAGTCCCATCTTTCTTCTCCTCGGAGATCCAGATTCGAATCCCCAGTCCTCTGGTGAGGCATAGCACATGTGAAATCAGAGGGCCCTCAGCCGGGGAGAGGTGGGTGCTTCTGTCTGTGTTCTGCCCCATCTGCTCCTGGGCCTTCGGGGGCGACGGCCTGGGCTGCGTCTGTCAGTGCCCTCAGAGTGCCCTGGGTGGGGTGGGGTTAGCTTCATTGGGTGTAAGCTGGTTTTCCCTTCCCGGCTTCCCCCTGCTCCTGATTTACTTCTGAAGCTCCAGGGACTGTCTGCCCAAGGAAGGGGACCTTGGTGGCCTGGCTGAGGGATGGTCCTTGGCCACGCTCTGATTCTCTCCTTCCTTAAGGGCTTGACCTAGGTGATTCATTGACTGTCCTCAGGAAAGCTTAGCTGGATGTAAGGAGAAAGAAATAAGCATTTATAGAGCCCCTACTGTGTACGGGGCACTGGGCTAAGCGCTTACAAAAACCCTGGGGGGCAGGTGCTGTTAGGATACCCATTTTACAGTTGAGGAAACTGAGGCAGGTGGTAGCTGAATGACCTGCCCAGGGTTCCCTGGCTAGTCTGTGTCTGAGGCTGGATTTGACCTTGGGACTCAAGGACTCTGTGCCCTGGGGCGCCCTCTAGCTGCAGGAGAAGAGAAGCCGGCATGGGGTGGGGGGTGCGGGATGTGGAAGTTCCCTCTCTCTTCTGTGAGGTCCAGAATCCTGACTTCCGTGGTCTGGGCGTTTCTTCCTCAGGCCCTAGAGAGTAGATGGAAGATACCATTTTCCTTTGTGCCTGAACCGCGCTGCTCTGACCCCATTGGGTGGAGTGGTATCGGTGGGAATAGGAGTAGCCTCCTTTGCCACCTCGTCCATGAAAACGGGTTTCTTTGAACAGAGCTGTGTCTAGTTGCTGTTTAAAGAGTTGGTCCTGGGGGTCCAGAGCAGGGGATGGGGGGGGTATTTAGTTGTCCTCAGCAAACTTCAGTCAAGAAGACCTTGGGTGGCTGGGTTCCCCATCTTCTTTTGAGAACTTGGCTCTGTGCCATGCCCCACGCACACGATAAATACAGGGACCCAAGAGCCCAATCTGTAGTGGTGGGCACAGGAATGTAGGGGCTACGAAATGGGGTCTGTAGACTGGTGGGAGGGGGTAGTATTGGTAAATTAATGAGGAAGAGACTGCACCTCCAGTGAGGGACTCCTAGAGTGGGCTGGGGGATGTGGCCCCCAGGACAGTGATGGGCACAGCTGGCGAAGCACCCGTCCCTTAGCACACCCCAGCAGGCCCCTTGGTGGGCGATGGGAAGGGCCGCATTCGTCGGGAGGCCCGGGAGGTGCTGTGGGTCCGCTATTTGGTCACTTGGGGTCTGAATCCTCAGGTCCACACATGCTACCTGGGGGTGACCTTCCTGACCTTATCTGTCCACCACGCAGAGCCCTGTTCCCCGCAATAATGGGGTCTTCTGACGCTCTTGACAAGAAGGGGTTATGGGAGTGTCCAGCGTGGCCAAGCATGAGCTTAGGATGGAGGCGGAGGAGAAGGACTGGTCGGTCAGGTAGCATTGACCGGCACGTGCTCCATGGTCACAGTCCACAGCGTGTGGGATAAATTGGAGGCAATCGAGAGAGGGAATGGGTGGGCTGCCCTCATGTGTGTGGGGGGGGAGTCTGGCCCCCTCCCCCATCCCCCCAGAAAGGAGGTCTGGTGGGCCCAACCAGGGTTCAGGAACCTGTTGTAATGCTGGCTGGGAGTCCAGGGGGTGGGGTCATGTCTCCATGAACTCTGGTGCCCCAGGCCTGTCCAGCACACAGATGCTGGAGAGCCTGGCCCAGCCCATGCACTGTTCCCCTCCCCTCCTCCCTGCTCTCCCACTGGGGCCCACTCCTCAGTCACCTTCGCCCCCACCCCCGAGCAGGTGCCTCTCTTTTCTTTGCTGGTCCTTATTGCGGGGTTTGCAGGTTAATTGTGCCTGTGAAGAGAGCCAGGCTTCCTCCCAGCTCATCAGTCTGGAATGCTGTGAACACAGGAGGTGCTGGCCGATCTTGGGCTCTCAGTCCCGTTTTTGTGGCCCGGAGCCTGCCGGGCGAGAGAGAGGCCAGGCCCTTTACCCTCAAAGTGTGAGGGGTCCCGGTGAAGGAGCTGGCCCACTTGGCCTCCCTGCACCCCACCACCTGCAGTGAACCAGAGCCAGGGCCAGACTTGCGCTTCTCCAGGAGGACCCATCTAGGGGTGGGCAGGAGCAGCTTCCTCCAGGGCGGGCCAAAGACACTGTGTGTCTGAGCACGTAGGCTTCCCGCTTCCCCAGCTGGGGGCCAGGGGCCGGCTGGCAGGGGGCTGCACACAGCAGGCTGACTGGGGCAGGAAGTAGAGAATTGTTTTCCCCAGAAATGGGGTTGACCTTCTGCACCAGGAGTCGGTGTTTATTCCTATGGGCATTTCCCTGCCGATTCTACCTTTGGCCGTCCCTGGAACGGCACAAGAAATGTCCTGGTGGGAGAGAGGCCCATCTGGAAGCCTCGCCTTTCTCCTTTACGATGGAGCCGGGGAGGGGGGCCGGTGTGAGGCCTGGGTGCGCAAAGCCTTGTGAGACCAGGGGCACAGGGGTGTGTCATGAGAGCTGCCAGCCCACCCGGCCTCTTAGGAATCAGAGCCAGCGTCTGGCCTCAAACATGGATGTGGGCTGATGGCCAAGCCTTGTAGAACGTCACTGGGCTGAGGGCTTTCCCCCCAATTTTATTGATGAGGAGACTGATGCTCAGTGACCTTCCCAGGGTCACCCATCTGGGAAGTCTCTGGGGCTGGATTGGAGCTTGCAGCCCCTTAGCTGCCACATTTTCCCTGCTCTTGAGGAGTTTCTGTTCTAATGGAGAGAGGGACATGATACTGGTGAAGATGAGATAGGCCCAAGGCAGCAAGTTTGCCTCTTGGAGTCTCAGTTTTCCCATCTGTGGAAAGATGGTAGTGATGACACCTCCCTGGGGGGAGTGTGGAGGGAGCTCAAGTGAGATAATTTGTGTTAAACCATTCAAGATGCTGGCTTTGGGAAGAGAGACCCCAGAGGCCCTGGGGCAAGGCTGGCCAGGAGGCCCCTCCATGGTCGTGGCTGGGACCAGATACCACATGGGGGGGCACTCATGGAGCGCCATCTCAGAGGCTGGGGACATGCTGGTTGAGGCATACTGACCTGTGCAGCTGGGCACAGCAGGACACCCGAGGGCCGGACAAGGCCAGCCGGCACCTTCTCTCAAGGGGCCCTGGTTCTGCTCTCTGTGGCCCCGGGAAGGGGTAATGAAGGCCTGGCACCTAGGAATGAGCTGATGAGGGCAGCCCTTCTGGAACAGGAGGCCAGTCTGCCCTTGTGTTACAGCTGGAGGACAGCTTTCACATGTGTGCCATCTGCCCTGGCAGTGGCCGAGGACGGCCGAGGGGCAGCTAGGTGGCGTAGTGGATAGAGCACCAGCCCTGAAGTCGGGAGGACCTGAATTCAAATCTGGCCTCAGACCAAACACTTGACACTTACTAGCTGTGTGACCCTGGGCAAGTCACTTAACCCCAATTGCCTAACAAAAAAAAAAACCAACAAGAGAATGGCCGAGCCCCCATCAGTGGTACCCAAAAGATGGTGGAAAGTAGGAGAGGCATGCCAAGATTGAGAGCAGGCAGGCGCGACTCCAGGGAGCCAGGAGGTCACTCTAGACTGGCCCTCATGCTTTCTTGACAGGGCTGTCAAAATGGTGGATGGAAGACAATGCCGTGGAGAGAGTTGACATGGGTTTTAGCAAAGCTTTTGGTCAGTGTGATCTCGTGAAGATAGAGAAGACCATGTGATCACAGAGTTATTAGGTAGATTCAGAAGAACAGTCATTACTGCTTCAGGGTCGGCTTGGTAGGAGGTCCCAGGGAGGGTCTGGGCCGGGCCATCTGCCAGGGATTTGGGACAAGATGATGTCGATCAAAAACAGCTCCTCCAAAGGGAGGAGTGGGAAAGTCTCCTTCACCCACCGGGATGAACGAAGATGCCGTTCCTGCGGGGAAGTGGCATCAGACTCGATGCCAGTCTGCTCCCTGTCCCCTCCCCCTCCATTTCTCTGACAAGGCACCTCAGGCTCCTGAGTCACATCTGTCTTCTGAGACCTTGATTTAAAAGAGCCATTTCACAAGTGCAGCATGGTGGGGAGTCCTGATTATACAGCATTGTCTGAAAAAAAGATCTGGGAGTCCCAGTGGCCCACAGGCTGGTGGCCAGGGGCAGAGCTCCCTGATTCTGGCTATCACAGGGGAGCTAGAGAAGTCCCCAGGAGGGTGGCCAGGACAGGAAGGGCCTGGAGGCATCGGGATGGTGGGGCTCAGGGGGCAGCTGAAAGGCTGTCATCCCAGAGGGCCCCCCTGCCTGCTGGGCCCCCATGGGCAGGACCAGGAAGCTGGCCACGAATGGGACAGGTGGCCCGCAGGAGGCAGCGACTGCCTACTGGCCACATCCAGATTGTTCTGGCTTCCCTTTCTGACCAGAATCCCTCAAGTCTAGTCTTTAACTCTTGTGGTTGTGTGGGAAATATTTAGACTTGAGGGAAGTGAGTCTGGGGTCTTCTGTGGCCCTTGAGAGGCTCATTTTGGTGCATGCAGTTGTGGAAGCCTTGCCCGCCCCTCCTGGGATGGCTCCAGGGGGATGGAGGAAGTTGAGGCAGTGACCTCCTTCCAAGCAGGTGCCCTCCTATGGGCAGCCGTCTGGGCCTTTTGAGGCCTTGCCCCTTCTCCAGTGCCCAGGAGCCCCAGCTCTAAGCCCAGGGGAGAGGCCGAGTCCCTGGCTAGCCTCAGCGCCCAGGCCTGCATCTCTGAACACCTCTGCCTGCATCTCTCCCCAGAACATCGACATTACCAACTTTAGCAGCAGCTGGAATGACGGCCTGGCCTTCTGTGCCCTCCTGCACACCTACCTGCCTGCCCACATCCCCTACCAAGAGCTAACCAGCCAAGACAAGGTATGGCAGGAAGGGGGCCCAGAGGCTCAGACCAGCTGGAGGGGGTGGCCCTGCCCCCCTCCATCCCCGGGATCCTGCCCCTGGCTCACCTTAGTCTGGCCTCCGCATCTCTGGGTTTCCCCTAGTGGGGGCGGAGGGGGGGTCCAGTGGTCTGGCAGTAAGCAGTATCCTGCCCCCCTAGCCCAGCAGCTCCCCCCCCCCCACTGTTTCCCCTCCTTTGGTTGACCAGGTTTGGTTTTATTTACAGAGAAGGAATTTCTCCCTGGCCTTCCAGGCAGCAGAAAGTGTTGGCATTAAATCCACCCTGGTAAGTGCTTGGGGGGCCAGTCCAAGCCCCAAGGTGGGAGCTCTCTGGAGGGTCAGAGCTCCTGTTTCCAGCAATTGAAGGAAGAAGCCTCCAAGGGGAGTGGGCGGCATTTCCATACAATTTAGGCCCTGATTTAAAAATAGACTTTTCTCTTTGCTAGGGTTCAGCCCAGCCATTGTCTTGGTTCACAATAGAAGTGGTTGTGGGAACCTCTGAAACCTGGACAGGAGCTGAGAGAACTGCCCCACCTTCCCTGGCCCCCTCCCCCACCTCACCAGCCATGGAGTCGTGCTTTCTCTGGGTGCCCTCACTAGCCCATGACCCCAGACCTCTGTCCTGCCTATCAGCTCTGGCCCCAAGGAGCTTAGCCCTTCCTCCCCTTGGGTGGTCTTCCTGCCACCTTTTTTCAGAGCTGTCCTGGCTGTCCTTCCTGGCCCAGGCCTCTGTTGGAGGCCTGGTCTGGGCCCTGGCCTCGGTGCCCCTTGTGAGCAGCCCCACTCACAGTGGCCACGCTGGGCTGGGCGTGAATCCTGATGTCCTGTCTTTCTCTTCCGTGGCAGAATATCTGTGAGATGGTGCGGACGGAGCGTCCGGACTGGCAGAGCGTCATGCAATACGTGACGGCCATTTACAAGTACTTTGAAACCTGATGCTGCTGGCCGAGGGTCCCCGTGGGACCCTTTTACTGGCCAGCCCAGGGTCCTGGCTGGGCCCTGGCTGGACCAAGAGCCGGCCGTGCCTTTCATCCAGACCTTGCTGCAGATCCGGTCCTCGGGAAGGACCCCAGGAAGGGGGGGTGTGCCATGCAGGGCCTGAGCTCATCTGCTCACCTGCCTTCCCCACTTACTTTGGCGTGGCTGCCATAGAGATAAATGCGTGGGATGAATGAAGAACATTTTCCGTGATGCGCGACCCCTGCCCTGCTCCTCGCACCCAGCAGGCTCTGGTCCTGGCACCAGCCCACGCTGTACTCCTACCAGAGTTCAATAGCATTCTAGTAATGATAAAGCTACTACAGCGTGGCCGCACCGGAGCCAGGGAGTAGGTGTAAAGGAAGGAAGAAAAGGGAAAACCCAGCCCTCTGGGAACTCTGAGTGGGATCGCTGGAGGCTCACCCCACCTGGGCCTGAGCTGTAGAAAGTGCCTTTCCTCTCTCTCCTTGGAGGCTGAGCCGCTCCCTGCGGCTTCCTTGAGATCTGGCCTCACCCCAGGGACGTTGGCAGGCCAGAGCCCACGGGCTGTGTGTGCCTGCCCTTTCCCCATGCCCACTCACCTCAGAAACTGTTGAGCAGGAGCCTCCCTTGCACGTGGGTCCCCCAGGCCATAGCTTGGCCTGCTCTCCGAGATGCCCGGCCAACATGTGTTTGGGAGGTCCAGCAAAGGAAGGAGGGAAAGAGGAGGGGTGCTTGTGTGACAGATGGATGGTGCGTGCTCTTGGTACCAGGACCTGGGCCCAGATGGCCCGATTCAGGCTTCAGCGCCAACAAGTTCTGGGTTCCACTGACGGAGGAGTGTTCACCTTCCGGGGGTTACTTTTGGAGCCACCCATGGCGTCACCTGGGGGCCAGAGCAGAAGGAAGAGGGAGTTCCCAATCAGAAATGAGCAGACCCTTCCCCTGGTGTGGGCCACAGCCACGGTTCCTGGGCCACGGGGGTTTCCAACCACCGAGAAGCTTCTCATGGACTGTCCTTTTTATTTTGTTAACTCTTTCTGAATGTATTAAACGGTTACACACTTTAGGGGTGGGCTGCTTGCCTTTCATTCCTGCATTCACTCACTCATTGCTCAGACATTTCAGGACTTGGCCCTCCCCCACATGTGCATTGCCCACCACCCTATAAGTGGGGTGCAGGCAGGCCTCTGTCCATCCTTGGGTCCCCTGGGCCTCCCTTCAGACCATCCCTTCCCATCCCTCTGTTGCCTGTCCCCAGTTGGAGATAACTTTGTTTTTGTCGTCACAGTGTTAGACCATGATCATTCTTTCCCTGTGTGTCCTTCCAGCCTGCGGGTTCTGTCCTCTTCCCACCATGCCCTTCCTCAGATCAGCTCAGTCATGAAAGCCCTTCCCACACTGGCATGCTTGGTGTGTCATCTCCCACCACCACACCTTTGCCCATGCGTGGAAGTCTGTCCCAGTACCACTCATACTCCCAGCAGCATCCACTGTGCCTCCTTACCTTGCCCCCACTGCTCCTTCACAACAACAATAATAGGAGACAGTTGACTAGCTTTGAGGCTTCAGCCTCCCTGCGCGAGCTCCATTTTACAGGTGAAGCAAGTGAGGCTTGAAGAGGGGTGGGGCTGGATTTGCATCAGGGCTCGCCAGCTCTATGCCCAGGACTCTGAATTCTACAAAGCCTCCTGTGGAGCCCAAGTAAGAGTCCCCTCCTCGACCTAGCAGCATCCTCAGAATTACTTGCAAGGAATGCCAGGTGGTCCCTGAGGGTGGCCTGTTGGTGCTGATAAATGGGATCGTCATCGTCACTCTGGCCTTAGGAAGGATGGATGAGCTGGGCCAGGCTGGAGAAGGGAAGGTGAGGGGTGAGAGAGCAGTCTGCTTGTCAAAGGGTACAGCTGCCCACAGAGGTTCTGGCCTGGTTTTTGGAAGTTCTGTGGGACGGGCTGGGTGATGCCTTGCAGGTGTACCATCAAGAGTTAAGGTTTTTCTGTGGCCGTTGAGACCCCTTCTGAATGGGAAATTCTGGGAGTGCTTGAAGACAGTGGCCTTGTGTCCCTGCCGATGCCTTCTCTGTGCCCTTCCCTATCATGGCTGCCCACTCGACACAGCTTTCATTAACCAGGCTGCCTACAACTGACCACAATCCTCCCCTGTGGTCTGACAGGGGCAGAGGCTGACAGGGAGGATTCCCTCCTCAGCCCTGTCTATCCTGTTGGGATTCCCTAAGGGTCTCTAATTGAACCCAAGGGCAAGACCTCATGTTTATCCTTCTTAAATGTTATTCATGGGAATAAAGGAATGAGTGAGGCAGCCGTGGCTTCAAGGAGGTTGTATTCTATTGGGGGAGGCAAAACACACACACACACACACAATCCAATGGCCTTTTCTCAGTCCTCATTCTCTCATTCTCCTTGACCTTTCTGCAGCCTCTGACACTGGTGATCACTCCCTCCTCCTTGAGCCTCTATCTAGGTTTTTTGGGGAACCCTTTTCTCCTGCTTTTCTTCCAATCTCTGACAATTTTTTCTTCTTTCTTTGCTGGGCCCTCCTCCAGACCAGGCACTTTAACCATGGGTGTCCCTCATGGGCCTTCTGCTCTTCTCCCTCTAACCTGCTTCACTGTGGTGATCTCATCAGCTCCCATGGATTTGATTACTGTCTGCTGATTCTCAAATCTGTCTTTCCTGCCCCATCCTCTCTGCTGACCTCCAGTATCACATCTCCACATACGTCTCAGATATCTCAAACTGGATGGCTAGTAGACAAACAGCATATCCAAAAGAGAACTCATTTATCTTTCCCCCAAACCCTCCTCCCCAACTCCTATCTTCCGTGTTACTGTCAGGGGCACTCCATCCTTCCAGTCTGTCAGGCTACCAAACTAGGGGTCATCCTAGACTCCTTACAGTCACCCCTCTCCCCCATCCAATATGGTGCCAAGGCCTGTTGATTTCACTTCTGTTTCATCTCTGCACCATATCTGGTCCATTTCACCTCTGCAGCATCTCTGGACCATTTCACCTCTGCAGCATCTCTGGTCCATTTCAGCTCTGCTGCATCTCTGGTCCATTTCACCTCTGTAACATCTCTGGTCCATTTCAGCTCTGCTGCATCTCTGGACCATTTCACCTCTGCATCATCTCTGGTCCATTTCACCTCTGCTACATCTTTGGTCCGTTTCACCTCTGCTGCATCTCCTCATTCTGCCTCCTTCTCTGTTGCTGCCCCAAGCCTGGTGCAAGCCCCCATCACCTCATGCCTGCATTATGGCAATTGCTGCTGGGAGAGCTGCCTGCCTTAAGTCTCTCCCTCCTCCGGTCCATCCTCCATTCAGCCATTAAAGTGATCTCTCTAAAGCACAATTCTGGCCATGTTCACCCCCACTAGATAAACTGTAGTGGCTCCCTGTTGCCTCCAGGACCAACAACAATACTCAGTTTGGCATTCAAAGCCTTTCATAAGAGGGTGGCTAGATGGCACCGTGGATAAAGCTCCTGCCTTGGAGTCAGGAGGACCTGAGTTCAAATCCGGCCTCAGACACTTGACACTTACTAGGTGTGTGACCCTGGGCAAGTTGCTTAACCCCAATTGCCTCATCAAAAAAAAAAACCCAACAAAAAAACCCAAAGCCTTTCATAACCCAGTCCCCCACCCTTCCCAGTCTTCTTACACTTTTCTCCTCAACACATATTCTTCAGTCCAGTGACACTGGCTTCCACCCTCCATCTCTGTCTTGGCTCTGGGCACTTTCTCTGGTTGTCCCCCTGTCTGGAATTCTCTGTTTCCTCTTCTCTAACTACTGACTTCCCTGGCTTCCTTTAAGTCCCAACTAAAATTTCATCTCCTTCAGGAAGCCTTCCTCAACCTCTCAATTCCAGTGCCTTCCCTCTGTTCATTATTTCCTGTTTCTTCTATACAGAGCTTGTCTTGTATATATTCGTTTGCATGTTGTCTCCCCCATTGGATTGAGAGCTCCTGGAGGGCAGGGACTGTCTGTTGCCTTAGTACAGTGCCTGGCACATAGTAGGTGCTTAATAAATGTTTATTAACTGACTTTCTTGAAAATCAGGATGTTTATGCTTCCAGTGCCTCAATGTCTCTTCTATTCTCCATCATCTTTATTTTTTATTGTGAGCTAGAAAATGAAACACAAATATTTCCATACATAAAGAAGTCTGAAAAACAGAAATGGGACCTGTCCAGGAAGCCATGCAGCTCCTTAATACAGCAGGAAATGTGACTCAGCAGCATCAGCATGGCCCTGGTTCTCTGATCTTGCAACCATCAAGGAAGGTGGCTCAGGGTATTTTAGAACTTAGGATGCTGGTCACTTGGGCCAGGGGTCTTGAGTCTATTAAGGACAGGGCCTGTGGGGCATCTCCAGGCCTGGCAATTTCCCAGTCCCTGGTACCTCCCTTTGCCCTGCCTTCCCCTCCTCCCCAAGGCTCTGGCTGTGGCTGCTTAGTTTAGGGTTGGGAATATGAAAATATAAAGATGTTTGATTTCCTGCCGTGCACCCCCACTCCCATTAAGGTTGTTAGTGTAAAAAGACCCAAAAGTGTAAGGCAGGGTGGTGGTGTAGTGAAAAGAGTACTGAGCCCGCAGTCAGAAAGACGAGTTCAAGTCTGACCTCAGACATTCACTATCTTTGACCCTAGGTCAGCCACTTAACCCTTTTTTGCCTCAGTTTCCTCATTTGTAAAATGAGCTGGAGGAGGAAATGGCAAACCACTCTAGTGTCTTTGCCATAAAAACTCCAAATGCAGTCAGGAGTCGGCCATGATTGAACAGCAACGGTTTTGTAAAGCGCATTCCACTCGCTGCCTAGAATTGAAAGTACAGTCTTGAAGCCAGAGTAAGGTTTCAATGAAGTTGCCTCTCCAGTCTACCCGATCCTGGGGAGGCTGCAGCCTCGTCCTGCTGGCTGGCCTGTAGTCTGATAGGCCCGTGTATCTCCCCCCAACCCCAACCCTGCCCTGGCTCTCTCCTGGTGTTTCCCCAGCAGTCCAGGGTCAGGTGAGAGAGATCGTGCCACCAGCCTTCACTGGCAAGGAGTCCTTCAGTTTCTCCCCAGCCAACCTTCCTCTCTGACATGAAGAGGAGGGGGGGAAACTGGGCCATTTCAGCCTCCAGCTTTCAGGGCCAGGTTGCCCAGGGAGGACAGCACCTGTGACTGCCAGGAGCAGATGCACAGGTAGTAGGAAAGTCCAGCATAGCGTGCTCATATCACAGAAGGCGCTGGGCTCGGTGAGCAAAGCAGAATTGCAGCAGCTCAAACACACGTGACCTCTCCACTCCAGATGTTCATATTGGTCTGACCAGCCAGAGTCGGGCACATTACCTTGACCCTGACCCCGACCCTGTGATGTTGTTTGGGTCCTCTGATCCCCAGGGACAAACACGGACCATCGCAGGAGGGGAGATTTTGCTCTATTCAGTTTGGCCCCAGCAGGCGGAGCCGGGAGGAGATGATCTCAGCCGCCCGAAAGGACATGGTGGGGGAGGTGAGCCCCCATTGCAGAGGTTGAAGGGCCCCTGGAGATGGGGGCAGGGGTGGAGTGGGGAGACTTACTCTGTTCCCTGTGGAGGGGGATGGAGCCCGCTGGCTCCTGGGAGGGGCTGAACTACTTCCTCTCAGACCTGGGACGTGGTGCTCCAGAGCTTGATGGTACACTGTGCTAGGAGAGGACAGGTCTAGGGGCTGGGCCACAGCAGAAGAGCTTGGAGATAGAGGGGCGGCTTCCCTGTGGAGGAGGGGAGTGAGGGAAGAGGGCCGACCACACTGGGTCTGGGGAAAGCCCCCGGTCCTCCCTGCTAAGGCCTGTGGACAGGGGGAGAGCCCAGTGCCTGGGCCTCCTTTTGTGGGTCAGAGAGGAGGAAGTGGTTAGAGAGAGGAGAGCCTCCTGCCCAGCCCCACAGAAGAAAAGGGGAGAGCCTTTCATGGGATATAAGAGCAATGGGAACCCTTCCCCGCGCAGCCCTGACTCCCTCAGGCAGGAACCCTGTGTCTGTCTGGGACGAGGGGTTCACCTCCTGCCACAGCCCCATGGGGATAGGGGG